ATCTCTGATCATAATCTTCTTTAAATCTCTGGAAGGTTGCATGCAAAGTTTTAAATTCAATTAGTTTTTCTTTTTTTAAATGCTTTACGTATGTAAAATGTGTGCAATTACAACTTGGAAACAGAAATTTAGATTGTCACCAAAAATGCTACTCCATAGTTAAAAAAAAAATTTAAATCTTCACAGGGCAATTTGATTGAACTACTAGTTCTTGAAAAATTAGTAGCATGCATCTACGTTACATGTCTAATTAGGACATAGGAATATATGAATGATATGAATATATGAATTATCAGTTCTCTTCAATTTGGCTAATATTTGTCCAATATTTTACATACAGTCATTCTTCAACTTCCTGGCTGACATTTTAGTTTTCTCAATGAAAATCCTGTTTATTACTTACAAGATGCTTATAAACTCAGTTACCTGATTATGAAGATATAGTTTCAAAGACTAGGGGATTCTTATTTTAATTTTCTTGTAAAATTAACCATTGACTTGGTAAGATTTTACTTCTGATTTGACATGTAACTGCTGATACATTCTGTATCATTGCTGTATCATTCAAAAGATCTCGATCCTATTAGTTATGAAGATTTTATTACCCTGCTTTGACAAAAATTCATACATATGCATTTAAAAGTAATTGTAGTTTTCATTCATGATAAAAGGAGTATAGAGAAAGATTAAGTGAAAGACAAAAATATGTATATACGGTATGTAAATAGAATTAGGAGGCATTCACCAAAACATCTTTCCCTTGCTAGTTCTCATGCGAAGGTTGCCCCTGTGTATGCCAGCGGTTACCTCCCTGCCCTTGCAAGCAAGGAAAGGAGTCGCACTCGTATGATTCTCATTCCTGCAGGATCATCAGAAAGTTATTTTGGGGCCCTTAGAACTTCACAGAAAAGTTAAATGAGCTGCGACATCCCCTTTGCTACCCAGAGGAAAATTGTACCCAAATTGTTTGGGTCCATGTGGTTTATTAGCTCCCTAGCAAAGGCCTTCAGTCCTGGGAGGATCTCCTTTGCAAGGCGCCGGGAAGCAGCAGCTAGAGCTGTCCTGGTGGGAACACAAGGACATCCTGCAGAGTCCAGGATGGAATATCCTTCCAGCAGTCATCTCAGGTCTGTAGCCAGACACCCTACCTCAGTGACAGGGGAAGCCTTATCTCCCAGCAAAATGATGAGTTCCCCTCACAATTTTATTACTGTTCCATACCACAAGGAGCTTTTAATTTTTTTGATTGATTGTCCTTTTTTATTGCTCAAGTGCTGCGTGGCATATTGCTGGCTTTTGTCATTGTAGTCTGTTTTGAAAGACTGACTTTATACTGCTTCAGACTTTCACAGCTAGAAGAATTGCAGCAAATGGCCAAGCAATATACTATTAGTGAATATTGGCCCAAGTAAACCTGAAGAAATGGGTTCCATCTAGAGACTTCAGAAATCCTGAGTCATGCTCTCCTACGTGATAAACTTCAGAAGTACTGATACAGTGTATCAGGATGGTTATTGCACTTCGGAGTGCAGAGTGCACTTTCCAAAGAGGCACACGGGAGCATGGATTGCCTGGTAGGGCAGAAGAGAGTGCCTGACCCTCTGGCTATTGGAGATTAAGCAAATTAGTGGGACCTGCAGAAGGCTATAAACTGGTGGGAGTGACAGAAGATAACTGATAGGCAACCTTGAAAGGTGTTGCTCAGTAAAAAGTTCCCACAGGTCATCACATTAGTCATTGCACTGGACAGTCAGCAAGTGCGGATTCAGTAGGCGCAGCATACATGGTGTAGGAAAGCTGGAAGTTCAGTCAGAGACCAAGCAGGGAAAATTGTATTCTTAAAGGTGACTTTTAGCAAAGGTTAAAAGTAAACAAAATCAGATATTAGACTGGCATATATTGTGCAGCCTTGATAACCACCAGTTTATTCGGGGTAGAGGTTGATTCAGTTCAGCACAGTAAAGGATTTTAAATGCTCTAGCCTCTCATTTTCGGCAGGGTTTTACACTGAAGGCGGACCGTGCCCTTGGCCAGTGCTCTCTGGTGTGCTAACCCCAAACCACGTCACCGTGCTCTGTAACAGGGGCTCCATCTCTGATATGTGTCAAGGTCTTGAGTTTGGCTGGTAGCACAAAGAAAAACTTCATTAATTCATCATGAAATAGGATTTCAGAAACGTATTTGCTGTATCTCTTACCTGTGTGTAGTTTGGATCTACAGAGGGTTATTCTAATGTTTACTGTGTTGGGCCAAAAATAAGCTAAGCTAAGCAGGTGCATCTTCTTTGGAATTTATTTAAGCTAAGCACAGGCAAAACCAATAAAATTGTCTGAATATCTATAAATTTTGAGAGTAGGCAAAATTTTTAATGAAATATAGAAAACATTAATGTGAGTTGCCTGCTCTGGATTAAAAAAAAATATATATATAGCTTGTACTAATTTGATAGAGAGGTCTCAATTCAGAAAAAGAAAACCACAAGCAAATATTAATGGAACCTAGGCACATATCTGAAGCTAAGCAGGTGCTTAAATGCTTGGCTGTACAGAAATGCGGTGATTTAATTAGGATCTTGTTACGTTTGACAGGCATATCTGACTTTCAGACTAGAGAGAGAGAGCAACAAGAAAAGCTCATTCTAGGTAAATGTGTCTGGATTCCAATATGTGGCAGGAGGAAAAGCAAGCTTTCTGCACTGGATTTCAGTAAGGAGTTTGTATCTCCTATTAGAGCATTTTCTAAGATGACTATCCAGGCCTCCAAAACTCCCTGGGATCATTCAGCCAAGTGACGGTTTAAAAAAAAAAAAAAGAGGAAAAAAAAAAACAACAAACACAAACCAAACAAGCCAAGAGACATCTTTTTCCATGGTAAAGAAGTCATAGGCAAGGTTTTCATTTGTTTGCTTTATTGTTCTTTATCGCTAAGTCAAGTGCTGGACTTCACTTTCTCCACCACTTGACAGTGAAACAAGGAATACGTGCTCTGCTAGAGGTTTATTTGTTTGGGGTTTTTTCCAGTAAGGGGTGACTCATGTTTTTTTTTTTTCAGAGTACATAATACAGTGTATCAGGTTTAGTAGCTGCATTAGTACAATGAGCTAAAATCATTAAATTGATTCCACATGTGATAAATACCAGATTGAAACAATCAGCAGCCCTTGTATATACCTTCCTATCTTTAATGTTGATAACATCATAGTAGTAAAAATGTTGAAAAGAGAAAGATAATCAAATAATAATCCTATGAAAGCTGTTGGGGTATCTGCACTGTTAGTTTGGCAAGAGTTCACTAATTATCCATGGTATTTTTAGAACAGGTAAAGGAAGTGAAGTGTGAAATGAAAAACGAGAAGTCCCAAAAACTTCTTTTCCTCTGTCTGTTCATCAAGTGTACAGTGGCCGTTAAAGAGAAATCAAGAGTTCTGTTGTTCTGTCCTGGATCAGAAATACCAATTGTAGTTATTTTAGTACAGTTACAAATGATTTCAAGTACTTTTCTGATTGTAGAATTTACCATAGAAAAACATAGATTTATATAATAACCACTCTGGTTAATTTAAAATTCAAACAGTAATGACAGACTCGAAAGGCACCCCCTTGCTTACAGGGTGGTAGCTGATAGTTAAGTTTAGAATCATCCAAATGCATCAGTGATACTTTCCTCAAAACAATGTCTGAATGTATGCTTAACTGTCACATGTTTGGCTGTCTCTTAAAAATTCCTCCTGTCTTTAAGGGCATGAAGACATTTCTACCAGTATTTTGAAAGGTTTTCAATGTCTTTTTGGCTGGTGAACTGAAAAAAATGCAGACTATTACTTTGTTGATCTTGTTTTTAAACTGAACTGCATTATCAACTGAGAGTGTGCTCTGAAGGTATTGTTAAAAGTGCTTTGAAAACTTGTAAATCCCTGTAATTTATGTTCCCGTGGTCTCAACTGCTTCTTTCTGTCCTTCTGGTTTTAATTTGAATGCAGTCTTGTCTGGGTGTGTACCTGTAAAATTGTGTTTTTCCAAGTACAATTTACAGTCGTGACCCTAAGTTTTACAGTGTTCTAACCTTATAGGAGCTTCCTCCTATGCCGAAAAGCCAACTTTGGGTCAAACAGCTCTTTCATATTATAATTGTCTAATCAAGGTTACTTGGAACAGATCCGATTTTGGCATTTTTTAGTTTATCACAAAGACTTTATAAGAATATCAAGTAAATTGGAAAGGTTCCTTTGCAGGAGACCAGTAATAGCATTGCCTTATTTCTTCAGATGTACACAGTTGTAAACTTAGCCTGCTTCATGACAACAGTCCCATTTATCTAAACAATTCTCCTTTTAGAGTCAATGGCACTGATAGAAACTGAGATAAGAAATACAGATGGGAGGATCTTTCTGAGTCTCTACTTACTGAAACTCCTTGCTGTGCAGCTTACAATCACCTTTTCTTTTTGGTGCCTGAGAATGCGTGGCAGACATCTACCATGAAACAGAGTCCTCTCTAATTGCCAGAGAGCACTCTAGCAAAGGATGATCGAGCTTCGGGAGGGTTTTTACAGTCCTGGTGATCTCTTTCTTGATTTCTCTTCCCCCCCCCACCCCCGACATGCTTACTGTGTTTAAATGGCAGGGGTTGGGGTTTTTTTGTTTTGTAGCTCTAACTTACAATAGTCCCTTTGCTATAATTCTTTGTCTTTTGAACAAAAGTATTACATGATCTATCTTATTGTAATCTTCAGATTAATCCACTTCTCATTTACTTCCTGTCTTTTTGGGTGATACAGGCAAAAGAAGTTTCACAGCTGTACATTCTTTGTGTTCCTCTGCAATAAAAATAATACTTGCATGCTAAAACAGAAGTTATTTGGACTAAATGTTATAAGCTTTTTAGTGTTTACTCCTCAGCCATGCTCATTTTTTTAGCATGACTTCAACGCCCTTGGTGGTTAACAGGAAGAGAAGAACAGATAGAGCACGTATTTTAATTTTGTTACGTTTGTATTTTCAGATCATTGTACAATCTGGCCGTCACCCCACGGTGCTGCAAAAACTATGCCAGTTGCCTTTCCAGTATTTCAGTGATCCTCGTTTAATCAAAGTGCTCTTCCCTTCGCTAATAGCTGCTTGTTACAATAACCCTCAGAACAAGATCATCCTGGAGCAGGAGATGAGTTGTGTTTTACTCGCCACGTTCATTCAGGTAGCTATTGAAGTAACATAACAGCGGCGTGCAGGATAACTGCAACAGTTTTTCTCGCCTTTGCTGTGTATGTGGAAATCATTTGACTTAAGTAAAACAAGTAAACAGTATTGAAGTACTTTAAGATTCTCTGCAGCTCTTTTCAAACCACAGATTATGCCTGTGCTTGAGTATCTTGTAACACTGAAAGCTTACCGAGTCGTTCAGGTTCTCACTATCACATGCAGAATCCTGTGTTCATTAAAATTATTGGACATGCTAGGAAGATTTGATGTAGATCCTGCTATTACAAGACAATTCTTAAAATATTTATTTTTTAAAAACTACTGCACATATAGCATATCTGAAATCGGTATATTAATATGTTTACATACAAACGTACAGTTGTGTGCTGCGTACAATAGATTTACAGAGAGAACTGAACAGAAGTGTATATATTTTATGCAGAAAATACACAGAACATATGTTACTGGCCTAATCTTGCAATCTTTATTTTTGACAGTAAGCCACTGAGGTCATTACGAATCCTGTTTTGAATAAGGATTTACAGCATTTTTGTTCCCTTTGTCTAAATTTATATGCTGTGCTTTACGTATCAGATTTTATGCATGCCTCGTGTTTTCCATATATTTTATTGACTGTTTCCAATGAATAAATGCAATTTTCGTAAACGCTTTACTATTAAAAAATAATATGCTTTTAGGAGTCTAGTAACTCTGTATCAGTCACGTAAGAGTTACTGTTGTTGATACAGAAACCTTAGTCAAACTCTTTTTCCTAATGCTTTACAGCTAGTCCAAGGGTAGGCTGCACGGATTTGGGAGAGAAGGCAGAAGAACTAAATATTTACTGAAAGTCTTAGCATAACATCAAACTTCTGAGTGCAACTACTTTTTATCCTTTTAATACTAAAATAATTGCATAGCAGTTTTAAAAAAAAAGTTTGGAACTTAGTATTAAAAGAATTTGCCATATGGTAATGAACTTAAATACAAAGCTATAATTCATCTTTTACTTTGACTTTCTTATAGTGAAACTACAGATTTCAGTGTAGAAGTTGCAGTGGCAAAAAATAATTTAAGCATTACAAGTAAATGCAGCAAGTTTAGTTTGTTTTTTTCAGCCAAAAAACATGAGAGTGGAGGAGAGAGTGTTCCCTATATGAATAGTTAAGGTTATTTACCTTGATTTCTGTGCTATAAGAGAGAGAATGACATTTAAATCCCCAGTAACTACAGCAAAGTGTAAGTATATTTACAAGGATCAACGTTATTAATTTGATTTCCAGTTAGAGGTATATCTCAGATGCCAAATCCACATACTATTCTTGCAGGCTTTTAAAAAAATTGTTATATTAAAATATGGAAGATCCTTGTGTGCTGTAAAGTGTCCTGTCTTTGCTGACTTCGCTGGTACCTTAGTATTTTACCCATTTTAAAATCTAATCCCAAATGTTGCACATGTGCGCACACACACACAGAGAACGATTCTGAAAGGAACCAAGGAATGCTCAGATACCCGCACACACAGAAGAGACTGGCTTCTGTGCTTTTATTTCAACTCGCTGCTGTTTGTCAAGCAAATATCTCATTTGCTTCAGTGGAAGGTTTAGGAAAGACTGTAAAATGTTTCCCCGTGACTAGAAAATGAGATTCTTCCTGTGCCAGGGAATGCAAAAAGAAGTCCCATTTACGTAAAAGTTTGGTGGTGTGTACAAATATAACGCTTAAATACAGTGTGTTAAATGTGTGCAGTGCAAATCAAAGGAAAATGATTGCTGGATTTTACAACGACCCACGTTATACCTCCCTACCAACAGATTTATTTCCATCTGAAGTTTTGCATCATCCTTTTTATTTTTGTTACTTCTGTTTCTAGATGTGCTGAAATAACTAAAAAACATTTAGGAGTATCCATGATTTGCTAAATTTTCTCTCTTATATCAAATAATACCGTCTCTGCTCAGTGAACACTCACTCGAACAAAAGAGAGGATCCTAAAAGCCCTCTCCGTACTGGGGCAGCTGACTTCCATAATCCTACATTGTTCTGAGCGAAGTCGGTGTCCTTGCTGACTCCGGAGGACGCAGCATCCCGTCCGATAGCAGCAGGGATCGCACATCGCGTTGGGCACTTAGATTAGCTGCACCTCAGCTGGCTGCACAGCTGGCTGCAGCGTTGGCCAGAGCTAATCACCTCTGTGGAAGAACTTCTCTTACTCTCAGGAGATCAGGACCTCAGTGCCGGGTCACTGGGAAGCACAGCTGATGAAATTGGGATAACTCAAGAATTTTGTAAGAGTGTGTTTGGAGTCAGGAGCATAAATCTAAAACACCGTTTGTTTTAAGGAAACACAGCTCTAGTAAATGTTCTCTTAAATTAAAAGTCATGATAATAAATATTTCCTAAGAAGATATTAAAACCTTGTTTTTTCTGTTGTGTATTAAAAGTTGGTGGGGTTTGTTTGTTTTTTTTCCAAAAAAGGTATAAATAAAGGTATAAAAATCCATTGTATATTACAGAATTTAAGTGCTGGCAGTCTTCTGTTATGATATGTAGCAAACAAGCCAGAGTTTGTTAATTTACAGATTTCATAAAGTATTAGTATTTTTGAGTGACCGTGAAGACTTAAAAATGTTGGTTTAATTCCTCAGATGTAAGATCTGAAAACCTGATGCCGGTTTCTTGGTTTTTTCCCCCCCGTAGGATTTTGCACAGAGTTCAGGCCAAATGGATAATCAGTTTTCGCAGCAGAGGGGTATGTCTCCAATGAAATGCAACAGAGTAGCATTTGAGTAACAAAATGTGTAGATACTATATTTTACTGTGATTTAAATTTTTCGAATCTGCATCACGATAGAAGAAATATAGTAAATTGCAAAATGATTTTACAGTTTGGGGAGAGGCTCTCCAGCTTACATTCTTAAACGTACATGTGTCCCAGTCTGCTGCTCATCGTATCAGGAATTCAGACTGTTAATCTTTATTAAATGCTATGTGGTGTCACGTCTTAAAATGTGATACTGTACGTGCACATATTTAATTAGCTGTCACAAAGGCTACCTTCAAAAGTTTTAGGTTGCAGAAGCCACACAGCCATGCCAGTACACCTGGGGAGCCAAAAATTAGTAAAATACTGTCCTGTAATTATCCTGTAAAGTTTGTCAATTGGCAGGAGTGTTGCGATTTTTTTCTTCCCCCCCTCAGTTGTTGTAAATATTGTGTAAAATGCAGTTAACCTCTTTAGGCTAAACATTTGAAAGATTCTCAGCTAAGATGATTATTACTTATTAAACACGTCTGAAATTCAAGTGTGTTGATCGGAATCTGGTCTTGAGTCGCTCGTATTTTGCATTAAGTACGTCGCTCGGACAGTCATTTCTCCCTAACAGCAAGCAGAAATCCACCACCATTTTGCTGAATGTTTGGCAGAAGATGAGCAGTTCTAGGTCTAAAACATAAGATTTGTGTTTAAAAATAAATTATAAATTATAAAATATAAAATGAACATAAATTTATGGAGATTTTTACTGTCAACATTATACCTCTCAATCTGAAGCAGCCTCGTGCAGTGTCTGCAGCACAAACTTTCCAGGATTGTGTTTGCATGAGAATCTGCTCAAGAAACATCTAAAATCCAAGTGGAAAACTGTTTTTTATTTGCACTATTAAAACTGAATGAACTTCTAAACAAAGATGACTATGTGGTGACATGTGAGTGTGATTTCTAAACATTCCTCCGTTGCAAAAAAGCTGACTTAATAGTAGTGTAAGCAGGATTATTTTTATCTGTTATATTACTTGAATGTGAAGGACAGTGTCCCCAAAAAACAAATGGGAACAGTAACGCCACTCGGAATAAAACTTGAAAGCGCAAACTTCATTGTCGGGTGCTGCGCTGCAACATGCTCCTCAAAGGGTCGGACCCTGCAGACCTCTGCACGCATGTGTAGTCCCCTTCATGTCACCAGTAATACTCCTAGGAGTAGAAGCTGGTTTGTAATCATGCTGTAAGCTTTGGGGGGATCAGGGAGCAAAACTCCTCCACAGCCCTTTGTGGAAAAAGAAGCTGCTAAGCAGAGAGAGCGCCATCGAGGCTGCCCGAACTTGAACGAGGCTGAATCGGTCCCTAGTGGGTCCGAGAACGTAAAATGTGTAAAGACGTAGAATGTTCCGATGTGTAAAGCAGAGAGCCTGATCCAACAGCTTAAAAATCTAAGCCTTTGCTCTGCCCCCGTTTTTAAAGCCAAACCTCAATGTCCTTAGCTCCACAGAAGTGTTACCCCGTGATTTGAGAAGTTTTTGGAAGGGGGAGGGGAGTAAATGACTTGAAGTATCTCAGATTGGCTGCGTGTTCATTATTCTTGTTTTATTGCCATCTTATCTTAAGAGAGAATAACTTGGTAATTTTATGTTCTGTCTTCAACAGAAAAATTTTTCAGTTCTCAAGATTATCTTGAGCTGTCCAACAGATTTCCCCGCCAGTCCTGGGAAGAAGCTCGACAGTTCTTCTTGAAAAAATAAGTGTTGTATTTGGTTTTGAAATCCCTAACGTTGTCATGCTGACCAGTTCCACTACCCTCTTAAAAAGGCTATGCCGAGAAGTTTTTGATACTCTAAATACTTATGCTGTAGATATATAATTTGCACTATTTATATCATAACTACTGTAGATACTTTCAAGTTCTGTTTTGTAATTTTGATAATTTGAGTTTATTTCATTCACATATCCTATGTCTTGATTTGGGTATTTTCTGCCCTGTGGTGTGGTGGTACTTGCACTGCAGAACTGCTGAAATAAAATTGCAAATAGAGAAATTATGTTCTATATATCTTGTAATAAAATAACTTATTCTGTCTGTAGTGTGACTTCTGCGTTACAAATGTTGGTGTGTTTGAATTGCCATAAGCAACACTCGGAGAGAAGAAAAAAAAACTGCCTTTCCAGTTAATCAAAAGTCTAAAGAATTTGTCAGATTTGGCTCTGAGGGAAGTTCGTTTGTAATTTTTTGGTGATTTGTGATAAGTCACAATACGGATTTTTTTAAACCACAGACATTTTTAACGTTTCGATAAGACTTTAATAACGCCTGTTGAAACCTCGTGATGTTCTCTTAACGGTGAGGATTCCATGAAGCAAAATTAAAACATAAAAACGGCGGCGTGTCTCAGCAAGATTTATTTTCCGCGCCTCTGGCCGAAGG